TCAACTTTTTGGTACACAGCCTCTAGGTGAAGAAGTGCTTTAGCAGAATGGTACAAATATACCAGAGAAAGAGCACCATTTTCCCTTTTGTAATTTAATAGCTTATTTTCCCTGTTCAAAAAAAGAAAACAAAAGAAAACATCACAGTGACCAGGAAGGTGTTTTGAAGAATAGAAGCAGACATGAAGGATCATGATCATCATCTAAAAAGCTTGTAAACAGGCATGAGCAAAGACTCGCAAGTGCAGAATAAATGCCTCATGTCGGAAAAAAACTCCCCATAAACTTCTGCCACTTCTTCCTGCCTGCAACCATTTTGAGCAACCCAGTGCTAATAGCTTTGCTTTTTACAGACAGCATAAGAGCTCCTTTAAAAACATGAATTTTACATGTTCCTTACTTTCCTGCAACAGAGGAAGAGATCAAATAAGGAACATGACAAGAATATGTGAAATACACGTTTTTAGAAGGATTCCTTTTTTAAAAATGCAGGAGGAGGATGCGCACTGCTTCAGCTAGATAATCATATTGTGAATAGCATGGAAGCTGCTGCAGAAAGTTCTCATCTGTGGCCGTCCTCCAAGAGGAGTGCTCCTGTGCAGAGCTCTAGCCAGCTGGCCAGCCATTCTGTTCTCCAGAATGGAAAAGGCTCTGGAGAATTCAAGCCAGGCACTCCACCCCTCCACACGCATCACTTGCCTTGATTTTCTTTTCCAATCAAAACACAAGTTTCCATGGCTACTGTGGGAAATGAGCCAGGATGGCATGCCGGTTAGAGTCTTGCACTAGGACTCGGGAGATCAAGGTTCTAATCCCCACTTGCCATGAAGTTCCCCGAGCGGCTCAACCTGACCTACTTCATAGGGTTGTTGTAAAGATAAAATAGGAGGAGGACCACGTGAGCCACTTAGGTTTCCTTCAGGAGGGGGAGAAAGGCAGGATAGAATGTAATAAGGAATGACCACACAGGTATTTTTTAAACATTTTTGGTTCGTTGGTTTGGTTTTTCTGGACACTCACTTTCCTCCTGCTTCTCCATGGTTCCTTTTGGCTCCAGTTCTGCTGCCTTGCATCATTTAAGCTGATTGCTAGAGGGAGTGAACCAAAACATGTTTTGAGCTAGATTTGGTTTGAACACTCACCTGGGAGTATGGCCTATTGAATTCAGTGTTATTTACTTCTGAGTAAATGTGTATAGGATTGTGCTGTTGTTAGTTGCTTCCTTTTCTAAGGAAGCAAAGTACCTATTTTGATGATGGCATCCTATCTTGTCGGGTGAGCTTAAAGTAATTTCATTACACTGAAACTGTTCCTGGTCTTTGAATTAACTGCATTAGCAGGTGGATTAATTGAGCTTTCCCAATGAATCATCCAAATGCAGCAATAAATGAATATATCATCAAACCCTATTTCTAGGAAATGAATCCCTTACAAAATTACAATACCATTTTATAGGCATCATAATTTAATTCCATTGGCCTCGCTGAATCATGGTTGTGATGCTTAAACTATGCGTAGAAAATGTTTATTACCATCAAAAAGAACATGGTATAACAAATATTGAATACCCCATTAAACAACATGAAGCACAACACTGACTGGGTAAGGTACCAAATCTCATGCTTGGAAAAAACAACCAGGATTTGAAGACGGATCATTCATAGCTTGAAGGATCTGAAGGCAACACTGGCATAGGATCAAGTGGCTAGATGGAACTTCCAAGGTCAGCAATTTAAGGCACAATCTGATGCTGGCCTGGGAATATACAGAATTGTACCCCCTCAATATATTGGCTGCCTGCAGCATGAGTAAATGTTCTGGCAGGTACCATATTTGTTTAGTGCCAGGTGGGGAACAACTGGCCCAGATGCCGGATCCATCCCTCCTAAAGTCCTAAGGCAGCCATACCTTCTTTCTTCATTGGGTGGTTTCCCAGCTTTGTGCAACCTTTCCCCATTCTAAAAGGTTGATATGCCTTTTACTCATGAAGGCACAGTGACTGGCAGAAGAAGTCTTAATATTCTGATAATTTTGGTGTTTGCCCTATCCCTGTCATCTTTGAGGCAACAATGCTGATCTATTGTGCTGGATCACTGTAAACTTTTGCTGCTCGTCTTTATTTCTGATTAAACACATAGAGACTTGGTATTTGGGATGCTCTCTGAAAGTGCTCTGAATGAGTCATTCTTGCTTGCTTCTGAGTAGACGGTTAGGGACTTGGCATGCGTACTTGTGAGCATACTTGCAGTGGCTTGGTGTTTCCAATGTGGAGTAATTCAGTCCTTTCACCTGGGTAGATGCACAGAGGCTAGCCCTGCTTACTTCTGAGTAGGATTAAAATTGGTAAGAAATCAAATTTTGTCCAGCACCACTAATTTGTCTTTGCCTCTAGAATGTGGCTCTGACACCTTTCTGAGAGGAGTTCAGCCTTTGAACCGAAAAAGTATTCCCACCCCTACTGTAATGATTACTGAAATAATGTGTGTGGATTGCTTTCAAAGGTCAGAAAGCAGTAAAGGCTGTGAGTCTGTGGACTGCCTAAGGCCAGCCTTACCAACGACACCTCCCATAATTATGGCCGAGAATTATGGGAGTTGTAGTCTGCATCTGGAGAGCATCAGGTTGAGGCAGGCTGGCTGAGGCCATCTTGAGATTTTATGGCTGAGCTAAGCTTCAAACCAGATCCGCTTGTCTCACAACGTGCTCTGGATGGTTGCTTCTGTACAATACACTTGACCTGACATAAGAAGAATTCCTTCTCCACAGGGAATCATTGCGATAAGGGAAGATAGGGCTCTCTGGCAGGGAGCTGTCAGCATCCTCACCACATGCAAATTCCCCAGATTCTTGAAAGGTGCGGTGACAGTTAAACTGATATAAAACTCATGTGCCAGTAGTGCAAATATGCCCTTAGATATGGCAGTGTATCAGACACTGAGACTACTCGAGGGCAACTTTTTTGGAAGCATTTGTCTGTAATACAAATAGCAAAAGCATATTTGGCTGCATTTTTGGTGCCTACACTCCAGCTTTCTATATAGGTCAGGTAAAGTCCAAGCCTTTTCTCAGCATTGGAAATGCCTGCCCTGATTTAGTATTTTTCTCACTGTGGGAATAATCTATGTGATTGGAAAATGTTCTCTGGGCAGTAGAACTGACTGTGGTGCAGACTCTGTCAGGAACCCCTGTGGCTGTCAAACAGAGAGCCACCTCGGAGCTGTTGTCATTTTGACATCAATTATGAAGCATAATTATTAAGTAGCTATGGAGCTGCAGAGACAAAGGTGCAGTGAAATTGCCTTCTTTTTATAGCAGTTACAGACAACTCCATAGTGCTTATTTTCTTGGTAGAGAAGCATTTGAATTTAACTGTAAATTCACTTCCTTGCTATATCCATTTGGCCTGTTCTTTGCATGGGAAAGAAGAGATGAGCTGCCAACTCAGAACTCCACAGGAAGAACACATTCTTAAAATTCCTTGGGCAGAAAGGAATGAAATTTTAACTACTACTTTATTTTGAACTTTAAATTATTTCCTTTTACCTAAGGTGACCAGAGAGTGCTGAAATGCATTAAGTATTCATTTTCTTGAACAGCTCATGGTTTGCACATCACAATAAGCTGCAATGGGTTGTTACCATGAGTAGCTGCAGAGTGTTTTAACATAATTTTCAAACTTGGTGCAGCTTTTCAGTAGTGAGTTGTTTTTGCAGATAAGCCACCCGGAAAACCCCTGGCATCAGGTAGAGTTGTTTAGGATGGGTTGTTCTCCAGGTGGCTGCATGTGGCATCCAAGTGGAACAGCCACTTCAGTGTGGGTAGTTTAAAACAGCAGGAGGAACAACAAGCCATGCTCACTACTCCTCACAATCATGTTAAGAGCATCCTCCCTCTGTTAAATCTTCAAATAATACTGTTCAGTTTACTCCTTTACTTCATTGCCTCCCTAAACAGCAACACTCCTTTTTCCAACCTTGGGAAGATTTCATGCATATTTAAAATTAAATTTACCCCACCTTCAAGAAGATTAGCGCAAACTTATGACAGGAAACCCACCTTCAAGGACATTTCTGTATATTAATTTATTTAACTTTGAAGAGATGTGTGTCAATATAAGTTTATTTTTCTTAACTTTTGGAGAGATTTGGGCAATCCTCTCACTTCCATGGTAGATGAACTTAAGCCTCTGAAATCAGAGGTTTATGAGCAGCTTCTGCCCAGTGCAAGATGTGATCAGCATTTTGTCCAAACAGCCATCCTCAGGTGTCTAGATTCAATGCTGGGGATAGAGAGAGAAGGAGGCTGGAACACTGATTGGAAATGGAATCTGTGTTCACATCTCTTCCTCTCTCCACCCCAGCTCACCTCTTTTCCTCTCTCCAAGGCCACGTTGCTGCTAAGACCTATGAAATACATGCCAGGAGCAGGTAGGAGGACTAAGGGGGTGAAAATCCGCAGAGAACCTGCATGGCTGTCAGGAGTGACATGGGTTGGCAAGTGAACAAGAAACCCTGGAACCCTAGAACACGTCACTACCATGGCTTCTTTTTCTTCCCCACTGGTGCAAACCTGGCCATAACATTCTTCCTCTGTTCCCTTCCTAGTGTGAACTATGCCTTTGCATTATATGTGAGCTGAGGTACCAAAATGACTTAAGAGTAGAGCTATGAATCCAGAAGTACCTGGCTTATCTCATCTTGGCCGAGAACTCACTAGGCAGGCTTAAGCAAGCTGCTCACTAGCTCTCTCTGCCCCTGCCCCTGCCCCAGCCCCTCTGCAGAAAGGGATATAGCAGTGCTGACCTATTTTACAGGTTGTTGTACCTATACCCACAAAGCAAGTTGCAAAGCCATCTTCACAGTGGAGAGAGAGAACCTGCCATGACTGCTGTTAAAGATGTTACTCTTCCTCCACTCTATAATACCACACAGAGCTCCTTGAAATGGTAGAGAGGGACATGACCCACAAGATGGATAATGGTATTTCTTTTCATTTTGCAGATACATTTGCCAGCAAAGTAGCAGCAATGCAAGATCAGTATGCAGATGCTTCCATAGGTAACGTCACCGGTAGCAACGCTGTGAATGTTTTCCTGGGGATTGGTGTCGCCTGGTCCATTGCCGCCATCTACCATGCAGCCAATGGCAGACCGTTTAAAGTCGAACCAGGCACCTTGGCTTTCTCTGTCACCCTCTTCACTATATTTGCTTTTATCAGTGTCGGGGTGCTCCTCTACCGGCGGAGACCGGAGATCGGAGGTGAGCTGGGCGGGCCTCGGACTGCCAAGATTCTAACCTCATGCCTCTTCGTGCTCCTCTGGCTCCTGTACATATTTTTCTCATCTCTGGAAGCCTACTGTCACATAAAGGGCTTCTAAAGGAAAACTATGGGAGATAGTATCTATATATATATCTATAGAGAGAGGGAAAGAAATACAGGTATATAGATAGAGATCTAATATTGTTGAACAGAGGAAGAAAAGACATTTGCCATGTTCACTTATCTACTGATGGAATGTAGCTTTGCGGTAGGAGTTTGAAATCTGCAGGATTCTTCACCAGAGGCAGCATCATAGAAATGGAGCCATGGAAGCAGGGTCGTCTTTGCAACTCAACCTACAGGATTGTGATGGAGCTACTCAATATTTCCCATCTCCCCCTCATACACACTCCCTCCATAAGAATCAATCCAATTTCACCAGGGGCTTATTTTGGAATGACAAAAGGCCTGTTTTTGCTGTATCACATTGGGCGGATGTTTCAAAGGGGAGTTCTTGACTTTCTTACCAGTATCTTTGTTGCCTTCTTTATAATTCAAGAATGAGCTGAAGCGTCACCCTCAAAGATGTGAGTGGAGTGGCATACAAAGGCCATGCTATTTTCAACCCAATTTTGTTTTTGTTTTTTTTGGGGGGGTCTTTTTTACTTCTATTCTGCCCCAGCCCCCCTTACTGTCCAGCTTAAGAATATGTTCTGTTGAAATACAACACAAACCACTCCCCACTTTTTCCAGAGCTGTAATTGTGATCAGCAAGTCCAGTTCCCCTTTAAAACAAAAACAGACTTTTCAAACAACATTTAACCAGCACTCCATTTGCTCCAAAACTGTGGATTACAGACCTGTGCCCAAAGCCCTAATGCACACCTCTGGCTTTGTTTTTTTGTTATTGCTCTGATGTATTTTGCCAGTTTAATTTCAATTGCCTCCAGTACCCTTCCTGTCCTGCCAATGTTTGCTGCTGTGCCCTTTTCATACTCCAGTTTGGGAATGCTTTCATGGTACTTGTTGTAACACTTTGCATGAATGAAGCAAACCATAATCTGTAATATAGCATTGAATAGAGATAGTCCGGTCAGTGATGCCAATGGAACATTGAAGATGCAAGCACATTTCCCTTCCACACCTTTTTCTTTTCTTTTCAGTGAACAGGATGACAGGCAGGAAACAATTGGCATTCTGTTACTCTGCATAAGGTTCCTAAGAAGCAATAACCAAGAGCTGTGGAAATCTGTATGTTTTAAAGGGAAGCATTCATGCAGCAGACTTAGACCATTTTGGAAAGGGATCTGCCTGCCAGCTAAGTTTAGGATGAATGTAGAAAGCTGCTTGCACTGAGTTAGGCCAATGGTCCTCTAACTCAGCATTTCACTCCAGAAGGCAGTGAGGCTCCAAAGTCCCTGGCAGAGGCCTCTTCTAGCCCTGTGACCAATTTAATGGGAGATTCTGTGAACTGAACCTGGCACTCTCTATGTACCAAAAGCATGCTCTACCAGAGCACTATGGATGGGATGAGTAATGCCTGCTTGCTTTGTGACTTATCTGTCTGAACCAAGTGGGGCTTCAGCACTGTTCATGCTAAGCAGGCATAACTCTAAATAAGCAAAATAGACTTGAGCTTTTTGAAACATCAGCTCCCCATTCCATGCACTTGCTCTCATCTTCAGACTCCCAGGATCAAATCCTTGGTCTCCATACTTAGGAATATTTTCTGCTGCAGCTCTGTGGAAACATATAGGCTGGATTGGTCTTCGCAAAGGGCACCTTGAAGACAGAACAATTCCACTTTAGTCTTCTGGTGGATTTTAAACATTCCACCATGCACTGGCCTTCAGAACGGCAAAGAGAAAGTGCTGGTTTTTATTTTATTGCCCAGCAGTGAGTGCATTTCTCCTGAGGAATTAAGATTTAACTACTGTTATTTATTATTCATTCATTGTTGGCAGTGAGCTCAGCACTGTACAATGCACAAAGAGATACCAAAAGCAGCACTTGGCGGTGGAAATGCCATCCTCCAGTATGCAGGTAGAGTGCCATTGAACTCTCGGAGGATACTTCTTTTGTGGGTCATTTGCTAATTTATTTATGTTTTCCATCTTCCCACCCTTCACACACATAAATTTTTCATTTGTCTAATTCTTATTCTCTACCTCTGGTGCTCATGGAAGCATCAAGTCATTAGAATGGGGCCCAAATATGGAAAGCTGTCCACCTTGAAAGTACACTTGTAGTGCAAGCCTTCTGCATGTTTAGGCAGAAAGCAGTCCTACAGGTCCCAGCATTCTCCAGCTGGGAATGGCTGGCTGGGGAATGCTGGGAGTTGCAGGGATATTTTCTGCCTAAACATGCATAGGATTGCACCCTTATGGCAACATGGAAGGAACTATAGGACAGAGCTGGGGGGACTTGTACCATATGTGGAGATGGTGGAGAGGAGGCACAGGTCCACCACTGGAGATGGATGGGACTCAGAGATACTACCCAGTGGCACAATCCCATACTTGCTGCATAGCTGTAGAAGGTCAGGAAGGGAAGATTCTGATCATCCCCACCTGGAACTATTGGGTGCAGATGCAATCGGTGCCCAGGGCTAGATGAGAGGAACTGTCCAGACAAGCAAGGGAACTGGCACTGTAGAAAGAGGACTAGAGGGAAGGAAGCTGCTTGGAACTGTTGGTTTTTCTGCCTGACATAACAATGGGGCCAATCAGTAGGTGTCCCAAATAATGAGATGAATCACAAATGCAGTTCCTGGCCTAACCATGGTCCATTGAAAGGTAATCAGAAAAAACACTGTGTGTACCAACAGTGTGCTGAGGCTCCCCATTCTCCAACCAGTGTGAGTTAGGGAGCCCATCTTCAACCCAAAACAATTCCCCCATTCTAAGTAGAAACATAGTTGGTCTGCCTTCAGAGAGAGAATCCTAAGCAGAACCACTGCAGAGTAAAAGAAGGGCATACCTGTATAAAACTTGGCCATGCTTAGAAGCATTCAGGAACTTCCAAAAAAGACAATTGTCCCATCCAGTCTATTATCATCTACTGTGATTGGTAATGATTCTCAAGAGCAGAAATAAGGGACCAGTGGCCCTCCAGATGTTGGATTCCAGCTCTCATCAGCAGCATGGCCACTTCAGGATGATGGAAGTCTTTATGCAACAACATCTGGAAGACTGCAGGTTCCCTTCCTCTACTTTAGACCAACCTTCTTCAACCTGGTGCATTCCAAATGTGTTGTACATCTGAAACACCACAGGTCTGAGAAGAATGCTTTAGGACCTTCCCCAGTCCTACTACTGAAGGTTGTTTTAGCCAGACATGACAGAAACTGGGGACTTGCATGTGGTCAGAGAGTTGTGGCCCATATAGAATGTGTGTGGCACTGCTATTTCAGAGCTGCTGCTTGGTACCAAAGAGAGGTTGACAGAATTTCTATTCACACAGGTATTTCTTCTCCCAAAGCATTGCATGGCAGGATCCTAGAAAATCTTTTGACCCTCATTCTTCCCAGTCTACTGAATAAAGAGCCAATATGGCGTAGTGGTTAAGAGCATAGGACTGGAACTTGGGTCTGGTGGTCTGGGTTCTCAGCCATGGAGCCCACTGGGTGACTTTAAGCCAGTCACAGACTCTCAGCCCAACCTACCTCACAGGATTCTTCTGGGGATAAGATGGAGAGCAGGAGGAGGAGAATGATGTAACCCACTTTGACTTCATTGAGGAAAAAGCGGAATACAGATACAGTAAATTGATGGGCACAACAGCTCTTCTCTCACCATGACTCAGTTGTGCTTGGACCTTGATCATGAGACAGTGTTTGGGTTTTTTAAAAAGAAAAATCATGGGAGTCAACACACCGCATGAGTCCATTTTGAGAAAGGGGGCGGGTAGCAAAGATGATGCTCATCTTTCAAAGTAACAGAAAACAGGATCCTACATCTGAGTGGTTCAGCCAGGCCAGAACATTAACTGCTGCAGAAGAAAACATTTCTATAGACATCAAAAGAGTTGTTCATGTTTTCTTCAGTAGAAAAGCTAATCCTGTCATTACTGTATAAGGATGTTACCAGAAAAAAAAAAATCACAGTGGCTTAAGTACTCTGTTCGTTAGTAGGTGTATTACTAGGTGGGTGGACTTTGTATGCAGTGTAGCTGCATTAAAATCAATACTGATGTTGCAGTTTAATGAATGAGAGCTGGAGTTGCTCACTTCTCCAGGAACGCCTCGGTATTGGCTCCTAAATTTTAGCGGCAGCAGTTGAAAACCTCAAGGCCATGCTAAAAAATAATTCACCATTCATTCAATGGAAGGACTAGCTGTGCATGCAGATACATTTGTGCACATGGAGACATGTCCTCAGTTGAAATGAACAGGAAACCTGTGCATGTAGAATGCTGTGTTGGTCCTATCTTTCATTATCTGTGATGGCAGGAATTAGTAGCAGCTGGCCCTGGTCCTGTGTAGCTCCTTCTGGACTAGCAACTGAAGAGCCATGAATGAAATCTTTCACTTCATAGTAAAATGTATGGAGGTTAGACTAGGATTTTCCTTATTTTGAACAACTTGTGGAATGCTTGAGTTTTTCTTTTAAAAATGGAATGCATTAAATTCCCCCACCCCCCACCCCATAAATCAGTTCTCATTTTTGAAGATTTTTTTCCTGTTTGATTTCATTTGATTTGTTTGTTATTGGGGTAGGGGAAGAAAATTAAGTAATGAATTTGGGTTGTTCAGGGACTATTATTCATATTATTGTGTTTGTGGAAAAATATTCATTTCATCTGTTTGCTTTCCTTCATTTTTATTTGTGTGTATTGTGCACAGTAACAGAGAGGCATTGAGTGCATTTAATTGTGATCAATGGTACACTGAGGCACAGAAAATAAAATTTATAATTGGTTCTGATTCGAAGATTAGTATTGCTACATTTTCCCTGTCCAATGTCTCATTGCTTCTTCCATTGTCTCCCCTCATTAATGTTATTTTTATTGCTAATTGATGTTCCCTCCATCCACTAGGAACATAATGGGCTCCTAGAAAGCCTGACTTTCATATGCAAGGTATTGCAGCCAGACATGCAAAGCATAATGCCTGTTCTTTTGCCATGCAACAACTCCAGGTACAAAATATTCTTAGAGAAACAGTTACCTATTTGCCCATTTCCCCACAATGCACACACTCTTAATCTTTACAGCAACACCCCCGCCATAGCAATTACTCAAACTATGTCAAATTTTCTGCACTCAGAATTATCAAATAAATATTCTTTCATCCCTCAAAGCCTGGGAACTTTGATAGCGAAACTGAGGTATTGTCTGAAAAGCTTGGATTATAGAGATTCAAAACCTGATCTGCCTTTCATGAAACACATAGAAATACCTGGAATTTGTTCCAAAGCAGTACAAAGCTTGTGCTTTGGCAAACAAAGCTGGAAATTATTTTGATTTTTAATGTCACTCTGTTGCATAGATGTAAGTTTAAATATTAAGCCACGTCTTTTAGTCCCCATTTTCAGTGGCCGCTGCTCTGCCATGCTTTCAGACACTAAAAACCTGGAGCTGTAGAGGATTCTGCACTCACAGCCAGTCTTCCACTGACACAGTTGATGCCAGGGTAGTCTTCAGGGCCGGGGGGCAGCTATCAGCCTGAGCAGTCCACAAGCAACTGTGCGGTTCAAACCAGAGAAACAAAAATCGGGGCAGGAAGAAGTCAAGTTTCAAGGCAGCGATCCGGAAAAAAGCAAATAGTGAAGATGCTCCACCTTATCCCAGAGACAAATTCCTCAGACTAAGCTGCAAACTCCAAGCTTAAGGCCAGGCAGGCAGGGATTGGCTGTTAGGGTCAGTTAATGAAATTTCAGGCAGGTGTGTCCTGCAGCCTGTAGGGTGCCCTCAAACCACAAAACTAAGAAAAAGTCTAACCCCCAGGCATTTTGAGACAGCGGAAAGGTCCTAAAAATGCCAGTATGGCTGACTAGAGAACGCTGGGAGACGCAGGACTTTTTTTCTGTCTCACCATGCATGGAGTTGCATCCTAAGTTGGCTGTGCTTGCAGCGAAGCACTTTGAAATAGTAGTGGATATAGGATACAGGGCACCAGAGCCTTGGGTTAAGACCAACATGGATTTTCAATATCCTCAATATAATGCAAGCATGGTCCAGAAGGAGGGAAGACACTGCTTAGGTGTTGTGCAGATACTAGAACCCATAGGGCAAACATGGGAGAGTTGGAGTGTATGACAATAAGAGAGACGTTAGATATAGCGGGCATTACAGAAACCTGGTGGAGCAGAGAACCAGTGGAATATGGTCATCTTTGAATATAAACTATCGGAAAGACAGGGCAAAATGATTTAAGCAGAAGTTGAAGAGGGGAACCAAGAAGATATATTTGCTTCATAGCTCTTGAAGATCACTCAAAAACACTAGTAGATGCACAGATAATATGCACACCTCAAGTGGGGAAAAGTAGCACAAAGTCAAGGAAATCACCAGCATGGTTAACCAGTAGAGTCAAGCCATTAGAGAATAAAAAGGTTCCTTTGCGAAAGTCTTACCACAAGGAAAAGAACAGAAGGAACTACAAGATTGCACAAAGGAGATACAGGCAAACAGTCTGAGGGGGTGTTTTCAATTGTTCGTGAAGTGGAGAAAATGGAGAGGGAGACATCATTCTCCTTTTTCCGTAACAATTGAGCCCAAGGTCACCCCATGAAGCCAATTGGGGGAAAGTTTAGGACAGACAAGAAGTAGTACTTCACACAGTGTATTTGAACTCTGGAATTTGCTGCCATGGGAAGTAGTGATGGTCACCAATCTGCGGGGATTGGACAGATTAACGGAAGAAGAGGCTATCCATGGGCAACAGCACTCCTGGCTATATGCTACCTCCTTCATAGAGGTGACATACCTGCATGCACCAGTTGCTGGGGAGCTGGGCAGGCAGAGCTCTTGCACCCATCCTGCTTGAGCAACCCTTTGGGCAGCTGATTTCTCACTGTGTGTTTGGAATGCTGGGCTAGATGTACCTTCGGTGTGATCCAGCATGGCTTGTCTTATGTTCTTATCCCTTAAATTTTTATTCAGCCCAACAGCCAAAGTTCTCTGGCAATTCCACAGCTTGATAAAATATAAAACTTTTCAAATTCAATAATTCAAAACACTTTGAAAACAAGTTAAAATAATAAAATTACCAGGATCTGATACAAAATAAAAGCATACCATGACATTGGCTTTTGACACAGATGGGCATTCTTGATCCCACTCAAGACCAATAGTCCATGTGCACTACTGGTGCCCAACTAGAATTGGGTTGTGGCTACAGAATCACATATGCACACAAGTGATATATAGAAAATTTGACAGTGACCTTGCCCCAAATCATGCCACCCAGGAGACTTGCCCCAAATCCACTGGCATGCAGAGCATCACAGCTTGGGAGATGGTTATTATTGATGCTGTTTCAATTTGTGGATGAAGTGTGATGCTTTAAGAATTGCAGATAAGGGTTTTCTCATGGTTCAGAAACCAGCAGGGCCATTGGTTGCTAGCTGTCAAGAAATGTATATAATGATGGATTTACACTCTCCCATCCCAACCCAACCCACCCTCCCAATGGTTAACTGCTTTTCTTCCATCATGCTTTGCTTGTTTGAAATGTCCACAGCTTCTCCCCATGATAGCCTTTTCAAAGCAGGTAAAAATGGCTGTCCACAGAATCAAACTTTGCAATTAAAAAGCCATGTGAATGGGTTCTTCAGCTAAAAGAGGCTTCCTAGAATCAACCCGGAAACCATTGCGATCTTTGACTATTAAAATTAATGGGAAACTTACCACACATCAGTGGGGAAGGCAATGCACACAGAAGCAGCACCACAACTGTGACATCCCCTAACTGGAGGATAAGGATGCTGAGGCTTAGCTATTCTTTGTGCCCTTCTGAATTTTCCTGCTGCTTTTGCTGTAGCTGGGTAGACTGAAATCTAAGTCACACCTAGTCACAACAAGCTGTGTTACATACTGCACTTCATAGCACAGTTTCTGTCTCAGCTTGGCCATGACCTCCATGGCCCATTTGCCCAAAACATCAGTCACCACTGCTTTAAAATAATCAGTTGACCTTCATCAGTGCAAGAGAAAATCTGTTAAGAATTAGTTCTGAGTCAGCAAGAATGAGTTGGGAACAGATGCTTTTCCTATTTCATCGTTTATGCAGAATTTTTCAGTTGAAAAATGCTGAACAGTCTTCATTGCATTCACCCATCCAGAGCCAACCATGACATTTGACACCCGAGGCCAAAGAAGAGCAAGCAGCATCCACCTGACAGTTATGAGGGTGCCATGGTTGCTGCTCCCCCAAAACCACACCTGCCTTACCACAATTATTTAGCTTAAGGATGCAGGCGGAGCGGGCCAAAAATAACCATACCAGTCCCATTTGCTCCCTGCTTGTTCCCACATGAATCTAATGTAAGAATCTCTGCTTCAAAGTATTAGAAGGTAACATGACCTTTACAAACTCTGAGGTAATATTATTTCCCCCTGTGATCCTGTTCCTGTCCTGCACAGACTCAAAATGGATGCAATTTACTGATAAATTAACATAAACAAACTGAAGAGAGTCTTTGTTCTATCAATTAACTGCACTCAGTGGTGCAGAATAACCGCTCCCCATGAGAATAGTTCGAAAAGGCAAAGGATGTAAGCCTTTATTATCAAGGTTAGAATACCTTGTCCTTTAATTATGTAAGTTGCACTGCAGTACACTGAAATGTTTTTAAAAAGGAGAAAAGGAACTGAAATGGACATAATGAGTTCAAGTGCAGTGAAAGCTGCAATCAAACAGGTTTTGGGGGAGGATTATGCATATTTCATTACCATCCCAGGTGAAAAAAAGAGCCCTATGCCAGGACAAAAGTTTTTCCTTTGATTGTGAAATTAATGATACGTTCTTTTGGTTTCTATGCATCTAGGATTGTAGCAGCACCAAAAGATTGCATAAACATGGCATGCAGTCATTCAAAAGAAGCAGGGCCAGTTGTGTGATGCTCAGCCAGGCACTTTATTTTGCTAAAATATAGGCTAAAATGGACCCAAAACTCTCAATATCTTCCCAGCCAGATACCTGTCAGGATCTATTTACACAATACATCACATAGTTAAGCCCCACAGTGTGAGGTGGATTCTCTTACCTCAGAAAAGGATCAAGCAGAGGAAAAAACAAAGGCCTCTCAGATATGACACTAAAAAACATGGTTTCTTGTTACAAGCCTCAGGCTTGTGCACTTTCCTGTCCCATTTCACACAGGACTGAAGTTACAAGAAGCCAGAGGAAATGGAGATTTGACCAAAATGTTGGAAATCACCCTAAGGTGTTTCACTATTGGGTAGTATAGAAATGTAATAAATACAACTGACCAAGTAATTCCAGGGGAAATGGCTGCACGAAACAGACCTTTTGCCAGCTCAGTTTCTTCAGTTCATTTTGCTGATTCATCAAGAAAATTCCTATCTCATTCCCTTTTGCTCCCCCTCAAAAAAAAAAAAAAAAAAAAAAAACCACCTAGGTTACCATTCGACCTTTTATGTTTGCGTTTGAAATAAAGTGGGGGCGGGGGGCAAGGCCATCTTATTAAAGAAATTCAAATATAGATTTTTTCCAAGTAATTCTGGTTTAAAATGAGGCCTCACAGAATGCTACACTGTGACTATATTTTTAACATGCCAGCTGCATTTACTGCTGTTTCTCTGGCAGGGTATTTAAGTTTAACACTGTTCCTCTCAAATGCAGTGAATCTGCCACTCCATAAAAGTGTGCTTTTTTCCTGTAGCTATTCAATTGTTGTCCATTATGACAATGACCAACCCAGTGAGTGTCAAAGGGGGTGACCACTGTGTTTTATAGTGGCAGCC